ATTGAATACATAGGGAGAAAGGATATCACCCTGATACACACTTTTTCTGATTTTAAACTATGTAGTCTTATCTTTCTCTGTTCAGGCAATAACTTCTTGATCAAGATACTGGTGTCTCATGAGCAAAACTGAATGTTCTATGATGACCTCTGTCCTCAATGTTAGCCATAATTTGTTTTGATTTACACAGTCAAATGTCTTTATTCAATAAAACACAAAAAGACTTTTTTTTAATATTCTCTGCTTTCAGCCAGAATCCCTGAGATAAAAAATAATCTCAATAATGATATTTTCTGCCACAGTTTCTTCTAAACCCAGCCTGCACTTCTTTTATTCTCTGTCAGTGTCCTGTTCTGGTTGTTTTGGGATGATCTTCAGCAATATTTTGCTTGCATGCCATATTAACAATATTGTTTGATAATTTCCATATTCTCTTGGATCACCTTTCTTGGGAATAGGAACAAATGGATAGATCTCTTCTTGTCAATTGGCCAGGTCATTGTCGTTCAAATTTCCTCTCATAGATTGGAGAGCCTGTCCAAGTTTGCTATAGTCACTGTGTCAATTATCTCATTGAAGATCTTTTTCTCTTGATGAGAGAAAAAACGATGTCCTTTTCCAAGAAATAGTCTCTCCTAGCAGCATGCCCAAAGAATGTTAGATGAGGTTTCACCATCCTTACCTCTACGGAGCACTCTGGCTGCACTTTTTCCAAAACATATCTGTGTGTTCCTTTCACAGGAGCTACCATATACTGCTAATTTAGAAAAGAAATTATACATGGTGATTCTGAATGTATTTAAGCTGTTAATATTGAAATCATCATGATTTGTTAAGTAAACTTTCACTGCTATAGAGTCGGAACTGAATCATAGAAAATCCTTCAGCAGGTTTTCAGAGGCTGTAAATCACACAGGAGTAGATGGCTTATCTTTCATTTCTCCCACACAGTCCCTGGTGGGTCCAAACTGCTTGGAAAGATGCTTCTCTGGGTTAACAATGATTTTCCTAACGGACTATATCACCTGAGCTCCCCTTGGAAGTAAATGTCACTCTCATATTCCTTGCCTCAGAAAGTGAGGAAATATATACTTTTTTAGGAACTACCAGGTGTTCACAGCTTTTTTGGTTAACAATGAAAAATGCTATTCCACCAAAGCTTCAGACTAAACTTTACACTAGGAAAAAAATTAATTTTGTGGAATCTACATGATATTATGTGATTTACATTAACTCATATATAACGGAATGTAGAGTTCTATTTTAAACTTATTCTCTATTTGAATGGGAATTAATGAGGGAGAAAGAAGGGGAAAGAATAGGGAAAAAATGATAGGTATATTCTGCACAGTGAACCACGAAATTATTCTTGCTCTTTTCAGAGTGGAGTATTTGGGGGAAAGCTGACTTGTGCAGAAGGAGCGTCAGCTTGTAAGAATCTGTGTAAGTGTTTGTGAAGTGGAATAAGATGTTGTGAGCTATGTCCCTGTAACACATGCAGCCTGGCTTGGTGGAAAGATCACAAGACATGGAACCCAAAGCTCCAATCAAAGATTCTAGAGTCATTACTACTAGTAAAAAATTGACCATTTCAATCAACCAGATCATAATATTTGTCTTTTTGTCCTGAGAAGATTATTTTGAGGATAAGTGATTATATAAGAAATTATTCAAAATGGTGCCCTTTTAAATCAAATTTGCCTGGTACTATTAAAGTTACAATTAAATTCATCTGTAAAAATGGGTTTTTTTAAAAAAGCCATTACCACCAAACCTAATAATTAAGGAAAAGATAAAAAAGACTAAATTCACCTATATACTTATTTTCAGCAGCTTGATTTATTGGATCTTCTTACAGTTTTTGCTTTCTTAGTGACATGTTCATTGTTAACCATTTCCCCTAATTTAAAAATAGCGATACAATTTATTCTAATAGCCATCCAGGAAGGGTGGTGATAGAAATCTATTTTCCATCTGCTTTTTAATTTACTTTATGAAGATTACATATTGGTTTATTTTATAAACACTCCCGTGATCACTTGATTCCTGAAATGTGTTGGGTTTCTTTTTAAAACTCTGGATGTATAACAAAATATATTTCCCCTGCAGTAAACTATTATACTCTTTATGAAAAGAATGAAGTAAACATTGGTCAAATTTACAGCTGGCTAGGTCTCAAATGGGGCACTAGCTTCGGTTTAACTTCCTTGATTGTGAAAATGAAGTTTCCTATGACAGCATATTAAACAAATAACAACAAACTTTCCCTAGTTCATTTGGTATTAAATGACTGTTTATAAGGAGAGTTACTTTGGATTGGTTGTAGTTTTATAAGAAGAGATAAGTTAATGAGATATTTTCCCCCTAAATTATGCCACTTAGTATGCTAAACCGTGCACTTCATCATCTTCTAAGGGAAAATACACAGATTCTTAGAGACATTTTTCTTGCAGTACAGACATCCAACAAGACAGCTCCAGAGAATGTGATTAACTTGAAATAATGGTGGCCCTTAGGGTTTCAGGCTTTTTTTACTTCATGATATTTTTGGTCTGTTATTACCTTAGGTGAACCCTAGTTTCTGAGAAAGAAGATGCAGAATTAATTCCTCTGTGACTTGTCATCAATATAACTAGATAGAGATAAAGCTGTACATCTTTACTTTTTATGATTTTCTAGGTAGCTCTTTTTTAAAGCTCTTATTTCACAAAGACTGCTGAATTTCCTATACCTTGATAATGATCGTGGACTCTTAGAAATAAATCTTCACACATTGACAAATGAGATTAAACTTGAGCGTCTGTGTGTGTGTGTGTGTGTGTGTGTGTGTGTGTGTGCACATGCACACATGCATTTATTTACTGTGGAGAATTTGAGATTACTGTTTTGTTGAATTTTTCCTGATACACGATATAAGAAAAAAAAGGAAATTTCTTCAAAGTAACAAAGTAAATGTTTCCTTTTTTCTACTGTGTTCAAACCCACCTTGCTGTGGATGGACACCCTTCAGTTGATAGAGATATGTAAGAATAGATCGCATATGCTAACTTCAGTCCTTCCTTGCCACTTTGAGCCATCAGCATGTTCTCAGGAAGTCTACATTTAAAAGTACAGAAATTCCTCTGTTAAAAACATAACTAATCACAAAACTTAATGATTTGCAAAGTGTAGATGAATTAAGTTGGAATATGGAGCCACTGAGCAGAGTGAATGATTAAGTACTTGAATACCATCCCAAAAGTTGGTGGTTCAAACGCATCCAGAGGTGTCTTAAAACACAGACCTGGCAATCAATTTCTGAAAGATCTTTAAAATCCTGTGAAACAGCTTTAATCTACATACATGGGATTTCAATGATTTTGGTTTGACTTGGTAACTACAAACAACAACTAGATTATATTCCTTGGATAAGATAATAAGTGGTCATTCTAAGTTAGGTTGTTCTGCAAAAGAGCCCAAGTGATGCAGTCATTAAACATTCACCTGCTAGCCAAAAGATCAATGCTTCAAACCCGCTAACCATTCTGCAAGAGAAAAATAAGGCAGGCTGCTTCTGTAAATATTTACAGTCCTAGAAACTCTAAGGGATTCTACTCTGTGGATTCTACGCGTATTGATGTTATGGGCTGGAGATTGACTTATTAGACTATGCTAATATGTTACTATTTATTTGCTTCAGAGTTAAAAAAATTATTTTTCCTTATCCTTATATTTTTAATTGATAAAAATGAAAAATTAATGAATATCTTTATGACAGTGACACAAAGATAGATAATGGGCCCATAGAATAACAACAAAACTATTCAAGGAGTAAAAACACTTAATACATAAAAATCTATAACATAAAAATCTATAACTGAGTTATCATTCATTGTTTCTGATTATTCTGATGAAGAAGAAATGAATTGCAAAGTTATTCTAACTATGGAAAAAATGAAAGATGCAATGAAAAGATAGAAGGGCATTTAAATTGAGAATATTTTGACCCAAAAAAACTGTCTAACTCAATGTTTTCCTATGAGAGTTGTGTGGAGCGTATCAAACTTTGATATATTATGTTGTGATATATTAAAAGCTGTTTCTCCAGTATTTATGATCAAAGAAACTTGGGAAACTTTTCATTTTATATTCCTCTCTTGAGAGCCACTGTGCATCTAATATTTTGAGAAATCTAAAATTAATTAGACCAATAAATTTCACAATATGTTAAAATAGACACAAGCTAAAATTTATAATTTTAATCATTTTAAAGTATCCAAAGCAATAACATTAATAATATTCACAATGCTGTGCATCTAGTAACATATATAGTTCCGGCTACACTGTTTGATTTCTTTTCATTAGTTTTTATTGTTATAAAAGTATAGATAACATTGCACTTGCCAATTCACCATTTTTTACATGTACTATTTAGTGAAGTCAATTATATTCTTTTTTTTCTATAATTATATTTTATTAATTTTCATAAACATTTACAGAGATTTTGGGCTTCCACTCATTCATTGTTGCACTTAGTGAAGTCAATTATATTCTGAAGTCATTACCCATATTTTTTGTCTAATGTCCAATTATCAGTTTCACCTTCTGGAACAAGTATGGATTTATTTTGGTATTCTCAGATAGTACATTCATGGAAACATTGACTTAAGCCAATTTTCTCATTTAAAAAATGTCTTATGAGATTAAATGTCTTGCTCGTGATCACACAGGTCATTTGGACAAAGCAGTATCTCATTTAGATTTGAACAAGTCTTTTTTTTCTATTTGAATATATTTTCCAATTGATTCAATTGAAATAACATCATTTGATGATCAATAATGTACAGATAATATATTTCCAAAGAGGATTAGTCAGGATTTCAAGACTTGCCTCTTGCTTTTAAAATAAATGTTATAGTATTTAAAAATGTATATAATACTTATTTTATGTTTCATTGTAATGAAATGATGAGAACTTTGTTTGTAAGAACTCACTCTAATTGACCTAATTCTGTTCTTAGGTCTTTTCAAGATTGTGGCTGATAAAACTCCATATCTTACAATGGAAGAAATTACAAAAACAATTCATATTGGACCAAGTAGACTAGGACACCCTTGTTTCTATCATCAGAAAGATATAAAACTAGGAAATCTCATCATAAAACAGGGTGAACGAATTGTACTGAATTCAGTTGAAAATATCAATGGAGAAATGATGGTGAACTGTGGTGTCATAAGGAATCACCAAAATCACTCCTTTACTTTGCCTTTGTCACAAGAAGGAGAATTTTATGAGTGTGACGATGAACATATTTATACCCTAAAGGAGATTGTTGAATGGAAGATCCCTAAGAACAGAACTCGAACTGTGAAACTTACTGATTTTTCAAATAAGTGGGATTCCATAAATCCATTCCCAGAAGGTTTCTACGGCTCTTTGGTTCTCAAGCCTGTTTATGAAATCCAAGGTGTGATGAAATGTAAGTACTCATGAAAAATAATACTTTATGAACATGAGCATTGACAGTTTTAAAGTCTGAAGAATGAGACATTGCCTCTGAATCTTTTGCAAATCTTGCTGAGATACAGGTGCCTCATTTACCTCATTTATAAATAAGTAAACTACATATTTGTTGAAAGGGTAAAGTGAAACTATACGCACACACACACACACACATATGTTTACATACATGAGTACATATCTATACTGAAATACCTAAATATCCAAATGCAAAGTGCTTTGATTATTTGGGACAGACAGATTAAAATACTGATTTATTGCTATCTCTACCCAAGTATATTGATAGCATAATGTAGTTAGTATCTTATAGTGAGTAGTCTATATCACTACCAAGTCAATCAGAAATGAAGGATTTTGGAATTTTGCGGGTTTTTTAGAACAAAGCGTATCTGATTAAAAATGGCCAAAAGAAGATGTAAGAATACAGTTTCATTTGTATGCATTTTTTGTTTATTACTTTTATTCTTGTGATGGTTTTTTCCTTCTTCAAAGCATAAACCACAAGTCACTGGTCATAAATCTTCTTAGTTGGAAGTTCCTTATAACCTCTAGAAAGTGATATATTAATGCACATGTAAGTGAATTTTAATATGCAATCCCCATAAAATTATTAGCATTTTAAAATCTTGCTAAATAGAAAAATTATTGTTACCTCAGAGGAACAAAAGGCTTGAAGTGTTGTTGTTGTTGTTAGGTGCTGTCGAGTCAAGTAAGACTCATAGAGATCCTATGAACCAAAGATCTGAAACATGCTCTATCCTGCACCATCTCACACTTCCTTACACACAGGAGCCCTCTGTGTGGTCACTGTGTCAATCCACCTGGTTGAGGGTCTTCTCCTATTCTGAACCTCCACCCTCCCCAGGATCATTTTCTTCTCCAAAGAATAGGCCTGCCTAGCAATATACTAGAAGTTTTTGAGGCCAAGCCTCATCATTGTTGCCTCCAAAGAGCACTCCAGCTGCATCCTCTCTCAGATATAACCATTTGTTCTCCTGGCCGTCTATTGATGGTCAGTGCTCTTCCCCAACACCACAGCTCAAAGGTGTCAATTATTTTTCTTATTCATTGCCCAGCTGTCAGATGCATAGCAAGTAATCAGAAATATTATAGCCTGAATTAGAGACACCTTAGTCCTCAAAAATATGTTGATGATGCTCTTCAAGAATATGGCATAAAAATTGAAAATAGGCAATGACCTTGGGTCAGACATTTAAACCCTGCATTTCTATGAAAGGAGATTATGAAGCTCTTTTGTTTATCTCTTAGTGTTGTTTTTAAGAAAAAAAGACCTTTCTAAGTAATAAAATCAATAATAAAACCCTGGTGGTGGTGTTATGTGCTGCGAGTCAAGTATGACTCATATAGGTCAACCCTATGAACAATCAAGCAGACCCCTGTCCTATTCACCCCATCCTCATCGTCCCTGATGTGCTAGAGCCCATTGCTGCAGTCATTCAATCCGTCTCCCCTAAGTTCTTCCTTCCTATCTAGAGATAAGAAACAAGACTTATCTCTATTTTCATTAACATTGTTGATCATTTATGCCATAATAAAAGAAAATAATGAGAAACTTTGAGTAGGTTTGATTCACACAATATTTAATCAGAAATTGGTATAATTACATTTAAAAAACCCCAAACAAACCCAACTATCTTTCCATTCAAGAAGTGACTATTTTCTAATACTATAAAGATATGAGGCCCTAGAAAATATTAGACTCCACGTTAGTATTACTAGCTACCTAAAAAAAGATACAGTCTAAGTTGATAATTGATTTTTCAATCATTACAGGTAATTAAGAGTGTTTTCCTTTTTTAAAATGTGTTAATTTTTTTTATGTCATTGTCAGATGCTCTACATGTTTACAAAAAAGACAAAGCCCACCACAACAAGATAAAGGAAAACAATCCAATTGAAAAATGGGCATAGGGTATGAACAGAAGACATTCAGCTGGCCAACAAACACATGAAGAAATGTTCAAAATTCCTAGCTCTAAGAGAGATGCAAATCAAAACAATTATGAGATATCATCTAACCCCAGTAAAAATAGAAAAATTTAACAGAACAGCAAGCAAAAAATGCTGACGAGGTTGTGGAGAAACTGGAACCCTTTTTTCACTGTTGGTGGGAATGTAAAATGGTGCAACCACTATGAAGGCTGTATGGCACTTTCTCAAAAAGTTGCAAATAGAGATAACATTTGACCCAGCAATTCCTCTATTGGTAATATACCCCAAAGAGACCGTAACTGCCACCCAAGCAGATATATGCACACCCATGTTTATCATGGCTTTGTTCACAATAGCAAAGAGTTGAAAACAACCTAAGTTCCCATCAACAAACGAATGGATAGAGAAGCTGTGGTATATTCACATAATGGAATACTATGTGGCATTGACAAACAAGGAACTAATGAAATATTACACAAAATGGGTGACCCTGGAGGACATTATACTAAGTGAAATATCTTAGCCACAGAAGGACAAATACTACATAGTGCCACTGTTGTAAAACAGGACTGACATCGGGGTTGAGGGGAGACTGACAAAGATGGGATAAATAATGTATACTGCATTGAAACATGAGGGAGAAAACTCTTTAAAAGGATATGTGATTAGGTATTATTCTCATGACAGGAGACCAAAACAAAGGCTGCATAGTGGAGTGGACCCGGTGGGAGGGATTGTAAAACAATGAAGAAATTTTTCTTTTACTTTTCAAAGAGAAGAGTGGAGGGGGGAGGGGTAGGCAGGGAGAAAAGTGCAACAATGAATGAATGAATGGAAAGCCAAAGTTTCTGTAAATTTTCATTAAAATTAATAATAATAAAAAAATAAAAAAGACAAAGCTACACTCTAAGGACATGAGATAAATTATCATAACAATTAAGGGGTTTGGATTTAAAAAGTGATATATGATAAGGTATTATAGTTATCACAAGAGTCCAGAATTAAGGGTCCATAGTGGAGTGTACCTGGGGCGGTGGGAGGGATGTGGGGGGATTTTATACCAAATAAAGAGTTTTTCTTTTACTTTTTCAGAGAGGAGCAAATGGGGTGGGGGGAAAGGGCTGGGCAGGGAGAAAAGTGCAATAATGAACGAATGGAAATCCAAAATCTCTGTAAATGTTCATTAAAATTATTAAAATTTAAAAAATATGAAAAAGTAAAATAAAGTCTTCTCTGTGAAATTGAAATTTAAACTAAAACTTAAAGGATGAAGAGAGTCATGTAAAGACTTTCATTGCCATTAAGTTAGAATCAACTCATAGCTGGCGCTTCAGCAGGTTTTCATTTTTTACTCTCTTAAAATCAAGTCTAAATTTTTATTATTTATGATCTTTACTCTCTTAGAGTTATTTTCAGCATAAATTCTTATTTTATGCCTTTTGAGGACAGATACTCTCTGGGATGGATTTGAGGATGCTTTCTGGATATACTCTATTTTTATCATTGGGAGATTTCTTTCATATCATAGTCTATTGTTTATATATAAAGTAGATTAGAATCAATTATGGTATTGTTTTATACTTTTTATTATTCTTTTTTAAACTGAAGATTTTAACTTACCTTGAAGTCAAGGGTACATTACTAAGCTACCTAACATTAGACTTTACTTTCAGGCATAGTCTAAACCCCGCAAAGCTCCAGTCCTTCCATTTTTAAATGAAAAAAAAAAAAATTGAGTAGAGGACAGGAGGTTTTAAATAAACCTTTGGGCAAAAGACAAGATGAAGAAGATGAAACGGCCTGTTGTGTTGTTGTTTTGTGTCATTGAGTCAAGTATGACTCATAGTGACCCGATGAACAAAAGATCTGAACCCTGTTGCATCCTGCACCATCCTCACAATTCCTGACGCACAAGAGCCCATTACAGCAGTCACCTCATCAATCCATCTGGTCAAGGATCTTCTTTTTCTCTGACCCTCCACCCTTTCTAGCATCAAGTCCTTCTCCAAGCACTATCCCCTCCTAGAAACATGTCCAAAGTATGTGAGGTGAAGCCTGATCAGTCTTGCCTCCAAAGACCATTTCGTTCTCTTGGCTACCCATGGGATGTTCAGTGCTCTTCTCCAAAGCAGAGCTCAAAGAGATCAATTCTTTTTCTGCCATCCTTATTCATTGTCCAGCTATCAGATAAATACCAAGTGGTTGGTACCTGAATCACTCACCTTAGTGCTCAAACTGACATTGTTACTCCTCAACAATTTGGAGAGGTCCTTAACTACAGACTTTTACAGTGCAATGTATTCATTCCTTCCTTCTTGACTGCAGCAGGAGTGTTAACTGTGTTAATTGAAAACTGCTAGAAATTGTAAAATACTGATTTGTTGAAGAGAACATAGACAGAAAATAGATAGAAGACAGAATATAATATATTCTAGTCCTAGAACCAGCATTTATTATACTGTGAATGTGAAAATGTAGACTCTATCTAAAAAAATGTAGTAGTAGTTGTTGTTATATGCCGCCTGTTGCTTGCGACTCATAGTGACCCTGTGTACAAGAGCCCTAAACCCTGTTCTATCCTGGGTCAACTTCACTGTCTCTGACACACCTATACCCATTACCCCAGTCATTAAATCGACCCATCACATTGAGGGTCGTCCTCGCCTATGTTGTCCCTCCACTCCCCCAAGCGTGATGTTCCTCTCGAAGGACTGGCGAAGTATGGTAGATAAAGCTTCAGAATCCTTGCCTCCAAGGAGCAGACAAGTTTCATCTTCTCTAGGATAAACATGTTTGTTCTCCTAGCAGTCCATAGTATATTCAACACTCTTCTCCAGCACCACAGCTCAAAGGCATTAATTTTCTTTCTATCATTCCTAGTCACTGTCCAGCTCTCTGACACATAGCATGAAATTGCAAAGACTATGGCCCAGATCAGGCACACCTTAGTCTCCAGCCTGACGTCATTGCTCTTCAGTACTCTGGAGAGGTCTCTGACAGCTGACT